GATACATTATGTGAAATGGGATGGAAGTAGAAAGAAACTTAGAAGCTTGATGAATGAAGGAACACATGAAAATAAATCTACAGTAAGAAGATAAATGGTCAAAAACTGCTTATTTATTAAAGCCATGTCAAGTATTTATGTATATATTAAAGTATATGGAAGGAAATGCAGAGTGAGAGGAAAAGGACTTCTTTATCATATCAATTTAATGGGATGTATGTAGATTTTATAAGACTAATAAACCCCTTAAAAAAGTAAATACAAATAGTGGTTGATTAAAAGACAAGTTGATTAAATACAGCGGAAGCGAGGCAGGGTGCCAAGAAAGGCTTATTTATCAATGTCAATGATATCTGTAATTTATTAGACATTTAAAACTAAAATAATGTTGTTAATTAGAGCAGTGGTTCTCAACTGGTGGGTCGCAACCCAAAAGTGGGCCGCGGACCCGTTTGAAGTGGGTCGCAGAAAATAAATTGAAGGAAAAAAATATATTTTTGGAAAAAGGTCAAACTTTTATTTTGAAGGCCCGATTTTCTAACGCTGTGCATGCAGTAGGCGTTGGACTGGAAGTACCGGAGACCATAAACGGTTTCTCAATAAAACGTCTTTGCTGATGTTTTTCGAGTCGTCGCCAATCAGAATCAAGATAGTTGCCGGAAGTCCCCACGGAGAATAACTTTGCGGTATAACTCTTCTTTATACATCCATGGGTACAACTTCAGATGCAAATGAACACGTAATGAAATATGACCCCCGGTTTGATGATTGACAGGTCACAGAACAATGGGGGCTATCTACCCTTACCCACAATTTAAAGTATTTCACACAGACTCTCTCCTCTTTGCTCTTCTCTCTGTGAGGAGCAGCAAGATGTCAGAACTAAGTGAAAAACAAACAATGGCATAATATATTATTAAAATGTTGGGTAGTAATATATTTATTTTCTTCTCAGAGTACCAGAATGCGTAGTTTATATGTTAATATTTCTAAAAATCTCCTGGGGTTGGGTTTTCAGCATGTGCCTTTTTATGTTATACAGTTCATCTTTGATTCCATCATCTCATTAAACCTTTTTTAAAGGCATTATTTTGTTCTGTGAAGGGATATAAGGGATATATGCACTGTACTTCACTTTCATTAATATTGTATTCTGAAAAGCGTATATATTACAGCACCATTTTTTGTTGAATAGATTTGAGTGGTTCAAAATGTCGGGTCGCGATCTATTGACTAAGGAAAAAGTGGGTCCCGAGGCCTGACCAGTTGAGAACCACTGAATTAGAGGATAAGCTAAAGTCAAAACAATATAAAGAAACATAAAGGAACAAATGGAAAGAAATGTAGACCAAGAGGAGAATAAGTTATTAATGAAAGGATATCAATTAGAAGTAATATTAATGACTTATATCAGGCTGGAAAAGGTGGTTAATTGATGGTTAACCTTCAGGACAGACACACACACACACACACACACACACACACACACACACACACACACACACACTCACACACACACGTGTCGTCCATGCCCATGAGTTGTCTTTGTCTCCATGAGGAGTGCAGGCCAGACGGAAATGAGCCCTCTGTTATTTGGACTGAGTGTTGTCATTAATTCTGTCTGCATCAAACACAGCACATGTTATTTACACTAAAGACCACAATCTGGCTTTGAAGGACTCCGAGCATGTGTGTGTGTGTGTGTGTGTGTGTGTGTGTGTGTGTGAGCGGAGTCACCACAATGACAATCACTTTGTTCTTCCTCCGCTTTTCTGCACCTTTTTTCATCTCTTTCAGTGTCTTTGCTGGGTTTTGTAGTATCGTGTTTCGTCTGGTAATGAGCGAAACAAAGCCACCTTAGTAATGACAACATCTCAGCAGGATTCCTACACATTTAGAAACAATTCAAATAAGTTGTTTCCAGTAAAAGTAGAAGCAAAGTGCCACAGAAAACTGCCATTATCAGTATTTCCATGATAACAGTCGGGCACAATTAATCCAAATTGTATGGAAATCGCAATATAGACTATTGCAATATTCAAATCAATGAAGAACAATAATTGTTACAGGGTAAATATGTATTAAAATTGTATTTTCGATGAAGTTTTGTCGAGCTGCAGACATATCCCGCCCTACAAATGTATTCTACAAACATATTTGGTACATTTTAATATATTTTTCAATGATAATGAGAATAATGATGAGTCAAAATAATCTCAATTATTGCATTTTTCCATATCGTGCAGCTCTAATGAACAGATTTAGTTTCTACTCGTCTTCAGTTGAACATATTTAGCAGTTTGTAAGTAAAACCAACCATTTCCAAAACAATCCAGACTTTTCTCCGGCTCATTTTCTCCACACAGTGAGGTTGTAACAGGCTTTGATGCTCCAATTGCCATGAAACCAAGCCATAAATGGCTGTGGAAACTTTCAATTTAGCCATTAAAAAACACCCAGAACTGTGTTTCTCCTCCACGCCAGAATTAATCCGGTTTCACAGCTGCGACAAGTGCATGTCTGCGAGGGCGGCTCATGTCGGTGAGACTGCATGTTTCAGTCTGCCACTTAAAAGACTCCCTTTTTTATAACCAAACAAGAATGTTTTTGTCAAACTGTTTTATTTACGCACTCGAGACGTACAAGTAGAGACGAAAGCATTCAGGAGCTTTTTTAATTGTATGCAAAACAGCCATTGATTGACAGTTGTGCGGCCCTCGTTGTTGCGCAACATGTAAATGAAGCCATATGTGTCCTTGGGCAAGACACTTCACCTGAACTTGCTCCTGTGGGTATTGTCCACAGTATCTGACCATTGCATGTATGATATATGTGTAAGGTGTGTATATGTAAAGCGCTTTGAGTCATTGAAAAAGCGCTATAATAAATGTAAGGAATTAATATTATTAATGATATGAGCTGCCAAGTAGGGCATTATTAAAGAATACTAAATCATTGGGAAATTACCAGCAATCACAGCAGATAAGACGATGGGGAATATGCTTGGTAGGAAAGTTCACTCTTGCTGTTGTGTGCCTACAATCTATACATCAAATTACATAAATTGACACTTCTGTCATTCGGAGCCAGATCTATTTTCTGCTCTGCTCCATTATGTTTCCAAACTTGTCTCGACAGGCCATTCGAATTCCTCCACAGGACTCAGTGACAGTGAGGAGGCCTTTGTGTTCCCTGTGATTTCAGATCGAGGCTTAATGCACGCACATCCACCCGCCAGACTCAAAGCAGACTGTCAACATGTTTTGGTTGCACAGATCCAGATGTTTTCCAAATGTACAACTCCTCAAACGGCACTGGACGAGACTTTTGAGGGTCCGGTAGGATTAGAATAATGTTTTAATAACGACTTGGATTATTAAGTAATTCCTGAAGTTCTCAAATTATTTCTGCACACTTTTCCAGCTTTTGATTTGCATAAAATCCCCCCAACATTTGACTCAAAGCGTGGCTCTTTTTTCTGTCTGGCTCTCAGTCTGCTCATGTTTTCCATGCCAGAATCAGCCGATTATTCATCCCCCTCTTCATTCGTTTCTTGGCCCTTAAGAAAAAAGGGATTTTTCACCTGAGTCAGGATGAAGTTGTGGATGTTTGAAATACATTGAGGCTCGCCCACAGGCTATTCTCGATCCAGGGGAATTACACGCGAACCGAGGAGAGTCACAGATATCAAATGTACTGGAATTGATGAATAACCTCCAAAAAGCACCGGGGTAAAGCCGGGTCCAACACGTCTCTCTGACAGACGGTGTTTTGTTGTTGAGCCCTATCATGAACAGGCTGATTCATTGATCAGATGACATGAGAACACACATCTGCATTAAACCATTTAAAACTTGATGTTTCACTCAGAAATATGGTTCAAATTGAGAAAAAAGCATTGAAAAAAAAGTGTTAATATCCTATCAAGCTTGGTTTAGCTTCCATTATGTAAAGAACTATGGATGACCGTATAAATACAAATGACTCAATAAGTTTCAGGGTGTGTATTATGGGACGCATGAACACAATAAGTTGTCTTTCTTGATTTTGTATAATGACAAGACACTTCTATTGTTTCTTTAGAGGGATGAGCATGTCAGGAAGAGGTCACCGAGTGTGTTGAAATGTGTCTTTGTTTTGAATGATAAATAGACATTTAGTCTGCAGGTGTGTGTGGGTGCCAGCAAATGCCTCATAGAGAATGAACCCATTGTGGTTTCAGGAAAAGAACATGAAGGGTTATCTGGATTCAAAAACATTACAGAGAAAGACAAGAAGAGTCATTCTCATTACTGTAAAGTGTAGTAATCGAAGGTTCCTAACAAGTGTCAGCCACGAGCTGCTCAAATTCTCTATATGATAGGAAAGGAGCTTCAATGCTTCCTTTATTAACTCCTTGAGGATACACTGGACCACCCTTTAGGAAAGTAAAGGGGATAATGCTGTCCCGTAAGGCTTTGCAACATTTAAAATGGCCGTATCTGGAAACAACTGTGATTGTGACTGGCAGATCATCTAACTTACAGTGCGTGTTTTTATCTTAGGACATATCTTGCTAAAGTGCTTAATGTTCTGAGTGATCACTGAGGTAAAGGACAAGACGTTAGGAAAACACGTTTTTGTACACAGCTATCTGGCTACATCTACTGGACCGCCTGCGACACTTCAGATTTATCAAAGGAGAATCAAAGCGTGGTGGCTTAAAGAGAAAGGAGAGTTATAAGGGCATTGTGGAAGGGTGTGTGTGTGTGTGTGTGTGTGTGTGTGTGTGTGTGTGTGTGTGTGCGTGTGTATGACAGGAGCTCTAACACTTTGATATCTCTCTCTCACACACACACACACATTATTATTAAAAAACTGTGTCTGTCCCTTTCAGTCATAGCCTTGGGATCAGGATGTAAAGTTAGCAACCTGTGTGTGTGTGTGTGTGTGTGTGTGTGTGCGTGCGTGCGTGCGTGCGTGCGTGCGTGCGTGCGTGCGTGCGTGCGTGCGTGCGTTACCTGGTATATCCTGAAGGGGATGAATCTGAAGCCTCCGTCCTCGGTGGGATATTCCATCAGCTTTCTGTTCATGGCCCAGAACTGATCGAACTTATCTGTGACAACAAAAAGTAAAAGTATAAACTTAAATATATATATATATATAAATATGCATATGAAGATATATATGAATGAATATGAATATATATATAATGAATATGACACTTATTTGACTTACATTTTATTCATGTGTGCTTACTTCTTTACTGAATATGTTAGTCTCCTATTTAATGTTGTCTTTTCTGCACTATGCCTTCTTGCTAATTTCTCCGCTGTGGGTCAAATAAAGATTTTTGTCAGCGATGAAGAAGCTGCTCTTCAAGATGGACGGGGTTATATTGGATTTGCTCATTGGTTCTCACCAACACAGGAGACGGAGACTCGCTCCTCCATCTTAGATCTTTACGAAATGATTCCACCCAACATGTGCTGGTTTCAAACCCTCCTTCTCTCCTCTCACTTTCACAAGAGCCTCCTGTTTTCTCTCCGATCGATGAAAGTAAGCGCCATCACTGTTTCTCTGTCTCTGTTTCTGGTCTCTTTTGGACGTGAAAGTTTTGCTTTAAATAAGTTTCATCTCTCACTTCCCTGATGTTTGGATTAGTTCTCAAGTGTTTCCTGTTTTTGATGTCGTTACAAAGAGATGGCAAGAACGAGGGCTGGCCGATATGGAGAAAAACTAATATCACAATATTTCAGATATAGATATGGTAGGGTTGACCTAGGGAGACTTCACAATATATTAACATAATGATTGATAGATAGATAGATAGATAGATAGGTAGGTAGATAGGTAGATAGGTAGATAGGTAGATAGGTAGATAGGTAGATAGGTAGATAGGTAGATAGGTAGATAGGTAGATAGGTAGATAGGTAGATAGGTAGATAGGTAGATAGGTAGATAGGTAGATAGGTAGATAGATAGGTAGATGGGTAGATGGATAGATGGATAGATAGATAGATAGATAGATAGATAGATAGATAGATAGATAGATAGATAGATAGATAGATAGATAGATAGATAGATAGATGGATAGATAGATAGAATCGGAGGGATGAAACCCTCTTTAATGGTCACATATGCTTATAACGTGTAATAAAAAGTGGGTAAAAGCAAGATAGAAGTCAGGTATATAAGAAAATTGCCTGACTTAACTGTAATGCATCCTTTAAATCAAGTGAACCACACTTATGCAATATGACCATGTTTAAAACCTTAGTCGATATGTAATTTCACATCACAGTATAGATATAATATTGATGTTTTGCCGAGCATGAACCACTCCCTGCACTTTCAAAACACTTCGTATATTCCTCTAAAGCAGGGGTTCCCAAACCTTTCAGCCCGCGACCCCCAAAATAACAGTGCCTCAGTGACTCCCTGTCGGGGAGTCACTGAGTTTTCTGCACTCTCGCGGGAATATCTCCGCAATGGAGCGACCTTAAGTTTCACTTTCGATTGCTTGATATAGCCCAGCGCCACACCTTCGTCAAACATGTTGCCACTTGTTTGTACCATTTTCAGGCGATTTGTAATCTGTCCTACAAAAACGATGTGTTTTTTTGGATTTCAAGAAGCATATAGAACAAACAATGGATGTATTTTAAGAACATTTATCCATGCTGGAAGTAGATTTAGATGTTAGGAGTGAGATAGAGATTATTATCTAATATATGCATCTGATGAAGCATTGCATGAAGTCTGTTGATGATCAGAGGCTGTTGTTAGACCATCCAGGCCTCAGAGAGTTAAACCTGGGCCTGCGACCATAGTCTTTTGTTTTGAGAATCCACAGTGGAAGTTTGTGTCGTACTACATGCGGTGTATTTTGCATTTCTCTCAGTAGCCAACGATCTGCGAGTCTGTTGGACATAAACTCCGTAATAAATGTAGTCTACATTTTCATAAGAGGTGTAAAACCTGAGAGCATTTTAAATCGCATTTGAACTAAATGCTTATATAATCTGTATTTGTATTGTTGATTTAATAATAATAATAATAATAATAATAATAATAATAATAATAATAAATTACATCTTTTTTTTTTCTTTTTTTTTCTTAGAGCGCTTTTACAGGTGCTCAAAGCGCTTTACAAGTATACATTACACATATTAGACATGCAAGAGTCATTACTGCGGACATTACCCACAGGAGCAAATGCGGGTGAAGTGTCTTGCCCAAGGACACAACGGCCTGACCCGAGGCGGGATTCGAACTGGAGTTCACCAACGCCCCTTGATCTGATGACCAACGCTCTAACCATCCATCCATCCATCCATCTTCTCCCGCTTATCCATGGTCGGGTCGCGGGGGTAGCAGTTCCAGCAGAGAGCCCCATACTTTCTTTTCCCTGGCGACATCAACCAGCTCTGACTGGGGGATCCCAAGGCGCTCTCAGGCCAGCGAAGAGATATAATCCCTCCACCTGGTCCTAGGTCTACCCCTTGGTCTCTTCCCAGCTGGACGTGCCTGGAACACCTCCCTAGGGAGGCGCCCAGGTGGCATCCTAACTAGGTGCCCGAACCACCTCAACTGGCTCCTTTCGACGCGAAGGAGGAGCGGCTCAACTCCGAGTCCCTCCCTGATGACCGAACTTCTCACCTTATCCCTAAGGGAGACACCAGCCACCCTGCGGAGAAAACCCATCTCGGCCGCTTGTATACGCTCTAACCACTGCGCCAAAACCAAAAAAACGCCAAAACCGCCTAATGTGTGAACGAGGCGGTATAGAGAAGGTTAAGCTGTCATTATTAGGCTGTAATTTGTTATATACTGCTGGAGTGGTAAGCAGGCCTATTGTTTTGGATATTTGTGGAGTTCGGTGGTCCGCGAGTGTTTTTTTATTGGTAGTCCTCGGTATGAAAAAGTTTGAAAAGCACTGCTCTAGTGGATTGCCTCGTTGCGGGGACATTATACAGATGGCTAGTCGGCCCCTGAAAAATGTCTATGCAGACGTTATTATTAATAATAATATGAAATAAATTGATTAAAACAATTGGAGAAAAAAAATTAATTACATTTGTTGTAATGATCTCGCGACCCCCACTCGGGGAACCCCTGCTCTAAAGAATCTGTCAAAAATGAAATGGATAATGTTCTCTCTCTTGTGTTCAGATGAGTCAGAGCTCCTTCTACTAGTTTCAGGGGAAAGTAACAAAAAAGCCTCTGAAGTTTTGCAGGATTTGTTTTGCAAATGTATTCAAAACATTGTCAGTTCCAGAAGCAAAGAATGAACAGTTACTTATTTCCAGTTTCCTGACCATCATTTGCATTGCAATTAGTCAACAATGCTGTTTGTGAAATATATAATAAACACATGGTATATATTATATCTTAACAGCATATTAGCTTAGAAGGAAAAGTGATTTTTAAGGGGTATTGAGTTTTAAAAACAAGCCTTAATAGATATAGAATAGAATATAGACAATATTTTGAACATGAATATTATTATCAGGCTCCAAAACAACAAATAAAAAACGAACTAAAGCAGATTAATTAAGCATTTCGGCGACTGTTGGAACTACTGCAAACAAATATTATTGTATAATTTGTATTATTATTGTTTAAGTCACTGCAAAAATCATGCAAACATGTCATATTTGTTGCTTCCAGGTTACGCAATATTGAATGTAATACTTTTTAATTTTGCTTCTTGATTTTGGACCAAACGGAAGACATTTGGAGGCATTACATTTGGCTTTCAGACCTGATGTACAATGTTAACCCTTCATAGACGAATAACTGATTCATTAATCCCAGATGTAACGTAGGGATTAAAAGCAAGTGTAAGTCATTCTTAACGAAAAATATGCAGATGATGAGAATTAAAGATCAAAACAAAGGTGACATATTTATAAATAACTGACCCAGAGGCAGATGGTCTGATCGACTTGACCTGCAGTGATTCCAGGAATCTCACCCCACGCTTTGAGTTTACTTTTCAAAGACAAGCTCAAACCTCAAACTTAAAACACCCCCGACCCCCACAGTGACCTACTACCACATCACAGTCGTCGTCCCCCCCCGTCCCCCCCACACCTACACAAACCACCACAATCACAGCCAATAGGAAATCAATCTGTCGAGACACATGGGTGGAAACGGAAGGAGAAGCTGGTGGGTGTTTCTGTGGGAGACGTTTGGAAGTGGAGGCTTCAAAGACTGCTATCAGACTGGAGGGAGATGCGTGTGTGTGTGTGTGTGTGTGTGTGTGTGTGTGTGCCCTCCTCACCATTTAGCCTGCTCATTCACAGCTGCTTATAGAATAGTCCATGTGTATATTTATGTGTGTGTGCCCTCCTCACCTTTAAGCATGCTCACACAGAGATGCTTAAATACATGTGTGTGTGTGTGTGTGTGTGTGTGTGTGTGTGTGTGTGTGCCCTCCTCACCATTTAGCCTGCTCATTCACAGCTGCTTATAGAATAGTCCATGTGTATATTTATGTGTGTGTGCCCTCCTCACCTTTAAGCATGCTCACACAGAGATGCTTAAATACACGTGTGTGTGTGTGTGTGTGTGTGTGTGTGTGTGTGTGTGTGTGTGTGTGTGTGTGTGTCTCACCGTTCTGCAGGCCCATCCACAGCTGCTTGTGGTCTTTCTTCTGCATGTCGTTGACCACTTGGCTCTTGTGTTTGAGGGCGTCGGCCTCCTTGATGCTGGACATGAAGTGCGCCTCGATCACAGAGTGGGACGGGCAGTGCAGCAGGTCACGCTCCGGGAAATTCTGACACATGCAGAAGAAAATAATTATTTAAAGATTCTTTAAATAATTATTTAGTTCTTGGTGGGCCAATTGGTGCAGGAGGGCTTCAACAAAAGCTGGCAGACATTAAAGGTCCCCTGTTATACTGTTTTCCATCAATATATCACAGGTCTCAGATACATCCAGAACATGTCTCTGATTGGCTGAAACACCAAACAGATTCTCTGTCTGTTACTTTAGATGAAAATAAGGAGCCCCTCCCCACGCCCCTCTGAGAGACATTTGGTTACAAAGAACACAATAGCCGCGTTCACACCAAGTACTTTTCCCGTTTAGTTCCGTTAGTACCCCTTATGTCGCGTTCACACCAAAAAGAGTACTTAGTGCCGGGAACTTTTACCCCCATTTTTAGTGCCTGCTGAGAGGTGGTACTCTCGTGGGGGAAAAAAGCGCCCCAGTTCTGATTGGCTGGGCGAATTGTCCGAAGTCAGGTACACACTCAACAATCAACAAGTGTCTTTGAGTACTAAGAAAAGTGTTGAATATATTAAATGCATTATTATTTGTATTTGATATTCATTCTACTTTTAACAGTGGATTTATCTGCTCTAACTCCTGAGGGAAATATCAGGACTTTTGTCTGTAAATGTTCCACTTTCTTCATCAAGAATATGCTCACTTTGTTTGAGCTGCTTAAGTCAGTAAAGACACCAAAGCACAAAATAAAACCAAGTGGCTGAACGAGGTTAAAAGGCTGAGAAAAAGTTAGCAGTAATTCTCCGCGGGTTTCTTCCCATATCCGATACTTTTCAATGCATATCTACCGCGTACAATATGACGCTTGCTACCACCGAGTCATAGGTCATGTCCTATGACTCGGTGGTAGCAAGCGTCATATGTGTGCTGGGGCAGCAGGCTGAAGGCAACTGACGCCAACAGACTCAATAAGCTCATCAGGAAAGCTGGTTCGGGCCTGGGAGTAGAGCTTGAGCCTTTGCTAGAGGTGTCAGAGAGGAGGATGCTGAGGAGACTGCTCAGCATCAAGGACAATAACTCTCACCCCATGCATGCCACTCTGGAAGCCTATCAGAGCAGCTTTAGCAGCAGACTGCGAGCACCGAGGAGCACCACACAGCAGGTCTTTAGTATCTGATATTCAGTATTTGACTTGAATGTGCAATATGACTTGTCACCAAATGACTTGTCACTGTCACAGGCTGCTACCTATTCTCTACTGTGGCACTCTAATGCGTTACTTGTATTATCTGTATTGTATTTTTGGAGCAACCTGGCAAGAATCATTTCCTTCAGGATTAATACAGTTCTATCTAATCTACACATATTACATTTTGCAGCATTCACCTTTCTAAATGTAGTAAACATTTCAACATAAAATACGTACAATTTACAGATAAAAAAAGTGATATATTCTTGTGGAAGCTGTGCATGAACACTCACCTTAAAGTGCACAGTGATGCTCCAGGGTAAGACAGTGTTAGATGCATGGAGGTCAAACAGGACTCCAATTGGATAGTGCCTGTCAAGGGAAAACACAAACAGGAAGTAGTATTCAAGGTATCAAGTAGGATTCAAGGATTCAAGGAGGATTCAAGGATTTTATTGTCACGTGTACATAGCTACAGTGTAGTTATGACCAGTGGCGGACCGGCCATCGGGACGTTAGGGACGAATCCCGATGGGCCGGTACTGAAGTGGGCCGGTCGGATAAGTCCTTTAAAGTCACTAGCACCCCCCGTTGACTATTTACTAGCGGTACCGAGGGTGGGCCGCTCGGATAAGTCACTAGCACCCCCCCAAATTAAATTACTAGCGGAATTGAAGTGGGCCGGTCGAGAGTCCCGGGCCGATTTTCAGTCCCAGTCCGCCCCTGGTTATGACAATGAAAATCTGAAGTCACAGGCTCCTCCAACAGTGCAACACAATAACACAGATACAATAGTGCAAGTAAATACAAATAGAATATAATAGAAATAGTGCAAGAATAGCCTATTAGAATATGATATATTAGATAAATGTTTTTTTTGGGGGGTTTTTTAAGTTGCAAACAGATGAATGTTATGGATGTTCTTTCAAAAGTGCAGGTGTTTAACAGTCTTATGGCCTGTGGATGAAATAATGTTACTTACTATTGTGACATGTCATATCAGCCGTACAGAGACATTTTTAAAGACCGTATGTGTTTGAAAAATGTTATCTATTGCTATGTTTCAAACTCATTTCTTTGCGTGCGGTACGAATAAAACAATACAAAAACACAAGTCTAATCTTATGCCTCGAATCTGAACGCTGAGTTTTTTTTACGTTAAAAATAAGAAAATAATATTAATGAAAACATTTGATGACGTCTAAGTTTAATTGTAACTTTCTCTAAGATTTAAAGTGCCAAAGGACAAAACTGGCGTCTTTTCTGTGGTCTTCTGAGGTTGTTGACGTTTCACTCCAACATTGCCATTTGTCACTTCCTGTGTTTCAGCCAACAGGAAAGAGCAGCTTTTTGTTATCACAGCCTCAAATCATGTTAGTCTTTGAGGTCTAGTTCCCCAAAAGCCAACAAACCAATGTGGGACATATCTGTCATTTTAAATATGATGTCAAACTCCCATTACGTCACCAGAACCTGGAGTGATGCTTTTAAATTGTTGTGTTTTTATAATGAAAACAAGAAATGAAAGCAGTTGACATTTGAATATTTTGACCCAACTAATAATTCAATATCTGTAAACGCTGCTACCTTTCTGTAACCAGGCTCTTCTTCATCATCTGTGCTACAATACTGACACCTTGTGGCTGAACTAGTGTGTCTGCAGACGGTTGAGCTCCGCAAAAAAAAGCCAGATGAGAAACTAACAAGGTGATGGATTGCTTTAAAAAGAGACGCGTGATATCCTCCCCACCAAATCGAATTAAAATGTATATTCAATGCCTGTGAGAATATATTAATCTTCTGCTTTTTCATCTGTGCTTTGTTTTGGTGATGGCATCTCTGTAAAACAGGATGTGTGATTGGTAGTGTGATTGTAAACCATCTTATGTATGCCGACGATTTGGCTGTCGAGTCCTAAAACCCAGAAGTGAGTCAGCATTTCACCACTTCCTGTTCCCTCGTCTCAGAGCCAATGGGATCTCTCCATAGGATTTAGGAAAGTAGCTGGAAATAAGCTCTGTGGTTGAAACACATTTAAGAGGCAGATCACGTTTTGTTCTACGACATTAAATCCATCAGCAGTGACCCCACTGGTGATTTCTGAAGAGTTGACGTGTCTGAAAAACGATGGTTGTTACCAAGTGGCTGAATAGGACTACAGAAGTTGTGGAGGTCGTTGTACGTCATTACGCCGAACACGTAAACACTCCTCTAAGTTTGTTTGCCGTGTTCTGCTTGAAAGCAAGTACCTGCCTCCTGCTAGAGTGTTCAAACAAACGCTTCAACTTGGACCATTTAGAATCTGTGTGTTTGAATATGGATCTGAAGTCGGCGTGACGTTGAAGCAGCGACCCTGCTGTAGTTCCTTTATAGCATAACGTTAGCATTTAGCTTCTGGCGACTAGATTTATGATTCGAAAATTATAAAAGTAGGGATAGACATGTGGAGAGTATCCGGCTGAACAGAACGTGACCCGTCTCTTAAATGTGTCTCAACCACAGACCTTATTTCCAGCTACTTTCCAAAACCCTATGGAGAGATCCCATTGCTTTTTTGTCGAGGGAACCAGCAGCTTACCTCCGGGTTTTAGGATGCGGCACTCTATTGTTTCTCCTAGCAGTGCTGGATTTCAACAGTTGCTAAATGTGTGTTCTGATTACGGAGTCAAATTTGATGTTAAATACAATGCTAAGAAGAGCGCTGTAATGATCTGCAGAGCGAAAGGGGATAAGGGGATATTCTATCAGTCAGGGCAGGTGCTGTCTGTTTGCTGTAAGTATCTGGGACACATCATCACAGATGAAATGGCTGATGATGATGACATGTATAGACAGCGGCGAGTCTTATATACACAAGCCAACATGTTGACTAGAAAACTCTCTTGGTGTTCAGATAAGGTTAAGGTGAACCTCTTTAGAGCGTATTGCACTCGTCTCTATACGGCCCCCCTGTGAGTCAAGTATAAGAAGGCAAGCCTCAAGAAGCTCCAGGTTGCATATAATGACTGTTTGCGTATACTGCTTAGAAAACCAAGGCGGTGCAGTGCGAGTGAAATGTTCTGTAATGCACGAGTCAACACGCTCCATGCTCTTTTGAGAAATCGAATGTACAAATTCATCTGTCGATTGAATGTTTCTCATAACTCTGTCATTATGCTGCTTTCAAATCCGTGTCTCAGTGCTGTACGATACCAGTCACCTCTGTGGAAACATTGGTATCACTGCCTTTTTTTATTTATATTTGAGTGTTGTGTCTTTTGAAAATTGGACCTAGAGTCTCTTCCAATGAAGCTGATGATGTACTATGGCTGTATGTATGCTATTTGAAACGAGAAACTAACAAGGTGTCCATGGTTACCCCTAACGCTAACTTAAGAGTTACAGGTTGTGTGAATGCATTTGTTGCACAATCTGTACAGAAATAACTAATTGAAATATATTAAAATGATCATGGTGGAGGGGTGCGTACCAAACAAAGATATCTTTAATCAATTCAAATACTTGTTTTTGTATAGGCTGTCAGGAGACTGAACTCTCTCCCCTCCCTCTCTCTCTCTCTCTCTCTCTCCCTCCCCTCTCTCCTTTCTCCCCTCCCTCTCTCTCTCCCTCCCCTCCCCTCCCTCCCTCTCTCTCTCTCTCTCTCTCTCTCTCTCTCTCCTCTATATAGTGTCTCTGTTGATTCTGTATATAGGATATACATATTTTATACATATCTGTTTTACTGTATCATTTTACATTCGGGATGGTTAGAAACGTCATTTCGATCTCTCTGTCTGTAAACACAAACTGAGTAGCACCACAATACTTCATTCAGAATCATATTTACACACATTTTGTAGCAAATAATTGTTTTTAATATTGCTCTTAGTCGTCTTGTGATTTTTGTTGTGCATCCCTAATTTGTGGGTGTTAACTAGAGGCAGTACAGCAAGAAGGAGACTGCATTAAACCTCCCATTATACCTCTTTGGAAACAGGGTGGTGCGGATTTGATGAGGTGGGCAGAGTTTGATTGGGCCGCCCGAAAGCATTTTAATAGAGGACATTTAACAAGAGCGATCGAAATAAAATAGAAATAAAGTCATGATGAGAGAATTCCAATATAGAGAAATACGCGTATTAGATGTTTTAGCACAACACATTAAAACTAGAACCAAGGTACTCTTTCTGTCCCCAGAGTCAAAACTGAACATGGAGAGGAAGCGTTTAGTTACAGAGCGGTGCAGGGGTGACGTATCTACCCGGAAGGAAGCTGCTGGTTCCCTCGACAAAAAAGCAATGGGATTTCTCCAGAGGGTTTTGAAAAGAGCTCGAAATAAGATCTGTGGAAAACGAACCTGTTTGATAAATGCACGTTTTGTTCAGCTGGATAATCTCCACATGTCTACCCTACTTTTATAATGTTATAATCATAAATCTAATCGCCAGAAGCCAAATGCTAACGTTATGCTATAAAGGAACTACAGTCGAGTACAGCAGGGGCGCACGACTTCGACGTCAAGATCCGTATTCAAACACACAGATTCTAAATGGTACGAGTTGAAGCGTTTGTTTGAACAGTTTGCAGGAGGCAGGGACTTGCTTTCAAGCAGAACAGGACAAACAAACTTAAATCAAGACTGAAGAATTTACAGCTGCCTTTTTATTAAACCAAACAATGATTCCTACCTTACTCTGCACTGTTACTTTCACTCTTGTATTTATTACCTATCTTGTTCTCTTTTAGCTTACTTACATGTTGTATAAGCTTGGCTTTTTACTGACTGGTTTTAAATGTTTCTTTGTATGTTAAATGGACATTCAGAACACCACCAGTGCATTAACTCATGATATAGCCCCTTGGAGAAATAGCTAAACCAGTTCATCCAACAACGCTTCACTCACCATTTCAGCGGCGTCCCTTCATACTCGAACCACATCTCCTCGGCGTCATCGGTCCTTATTACTTTGTGGAAGTGTTTCTTCACTTTGTCTGTGACCAGAGTCAGGTAGCTCACCCTGGGTAACAGCAGCTGAGCGGGACAACAGAAGAGGAAGACACCGGTTCATAATAATCACATAAAAACAAACTATTAACACTGTTGGGAAAATACTGAATGTTCCTTCTGTATCAGAGTAGCACATGATAACAGAGGCCCTATGTAGCCGGATGTATGACTACATGGATGATGCGTTCCTACGTTGTTCCTACGAATGGCACGATGATACAGTCACTCGAGAGATAGGCATATGACTGTCGTGTTTATTGCTTACGCAGGCCTTAGCTAATCTGAACTAATGTCAGAATACTGCTTGGAACTTGTATCCTTCCATCTTGTTGACTGCAACACCCTCTCTTGTATATACGCATATCAAAGACTCTACTCTGGGAACCAGCGTTTCCGCCAGGGGGGCGTCTTGCCGTCATTTGAAAAATATTAATAATTCGAGAGAAGATCGAGAGTTTTTATCGCTTGAAATAACGAAAAGGAAAAAGGACAAGGACATCCATCTGTTGGAGGGGCAAAGGAGTCTGGTGGGATTCTTTTCGGAGTATTGAAGATAGTTTCCCCGACATCGGCGGTGCCTGCTACAGCACAACATGGAACGTGCGCGATTTGGACACGATGAGTGGTGCTAGTGGAGCACGCACGTGAGCTGCGAGCACCAGAGCCTCTCAGCGGCGAAACTGAGGCTCCGTGGTAAACTGTGGTAACATGAAGAGCCGTGTGGGAGGCGAAACAGCCGGCGCTTTAAGAGAGCCGAGCCAAATGATCCGGCTCACTAACGTAAAAAGACAGTATCTATAAGGGACGGCTCAAGTCAAAATTCAAGCACCCCCCCCCCGCTCTCGGGGTGGACGCCCTCTCAGCCCTGGGGCCTATACTACGAAGCTGGTTCAACCTAACCTGGATATGTTTGAGTTAGCCGGTTGGCTAACATACGGCTAAACTGTACTACGACGCTGGTTATCAAGTGGATCGCTCAAGCCAGCCGTGTCCTATCTAGTTAGGTGCGCGTTCACATGAAAGGGCTGGTATCTGGAGCATTCGACCAATCACAAACATGGAGAAGCGTACTGACAGCGCAGCGTCATACTTCCTGAATGAAAAGTGAACTTTAATACTAGTCAAAAATGAAGAAGTTAAACTTTAAACATCCATGACTTAAACACTTTATCCAGGATCAAAGCCACAGAGCTGCACCTGCAAGGTGAATACAGCTGGTAACAGAACAAGTGTTTGAATGCGTACATTAACAGGTTTATGATATCACTGCCCCGTCTAAGACACGATCTGACTTTCATTACATTTGTCTCGAGTGTTTCATCAACTTAATGTGTTGCTTCAAATAATACTTCTGCATACAGTATGTGACACTGTGAGTGTTGCACGGCCAGATACGGCTCAGCTGACTCAGATAGGAAATATATGATAGGCTACATTAAGTGATATGCCGCGGACTGTACGTAATGTTACTCTGATCCGGTTACTTATGTTGTGGCAGATATTTAAGTAAGCTTTCTTTACACTAATGTTATAATAGTCAGATTGCTCTGAAGATGGAGGTGATATTCTATTCATGTTCACGTTCACAGTCTGTGATTTTTGCCGGCGGTCTTTCCTGCGACGGCAGTTTTTCTGTATTTCCTTTCTCCTGTAATATGACTTGATCGCTTTAAACTCCGCACACTGAGCTCTGATTGGTCAGCAGGCAGTGCTTTCACTGAGTTGAGCTCTTAGCCTGCAACCTAACCTGGTCCCGACCAGGTTAGCCGCTAAGCATAAGTTACCATGGAGATCTAGCTTGCTAAAAAGAGAACCAGCTTCGTAGGACCGGAAAGCCGGAGTTTTCCCTGAATTTAGCCGCTAAGAGAACATCCGGCTTCGTAGTACAGGCCTCTGGTCTGGCGGAAACACTGCTGGGAACTATTTGTTCAACGCAGCCCTGTGTGTGATGACTACTTCCATTCTTGCAAGGATAATAAATACATGGATCCTGATATTGAAGACCAAGCCGGTGACGAGTGAACAGCCAAGGCAAAGTGTTGACGTCACTGTGGTAGAGAGCTGCAATCAGTGGACGTGGCGGTGCGCAGTGTGTTCATTAATGCTGCTCTTAGACGTATTGTGTCAGGTGGATCTATGGAGCTTCTTCGTTTATTGTATATGTTCGTTTATCAGCTGCAGACAAACCTTGTAACTGATATAATCAAAAGTTGTAAGCCCTGCTGGTGATGCAAACATTAACGAGATGTGCTAAATGGCACTAGCATGTTTGTTTGGGTGTGTCCCCTTTCCTGGAGTGTGTAGGTTTTAGTGCATGTAAATGGTCTGCAGAGGATCAAATCAGAGGGAGTTTCTCTGCCAAACACTCCCCCCCCCCCGTCTGTAACGCCTCCATTGGACTCCTTTGTTTACCTCTGCAGCATAAAGACATCACTATGTAACACTCGTGCTTCTATTGGCTAGCGCTCAAACACATTGACGTGATAGGCTAAGGGGCGGGACATCTCTAAGCGGTTGATCAATCTGTTCTTCGCAGGATTGACTTTTCCCTGTGGATTAAAAACTGGATAAAGTGTCTTGTGATTTGTGACAACCTGCTCCACCATGACAACAACAAAACCTCAAGAAAACGTTTTGTTTTTTTATAGAAACTGAAGCATATCCCTCCGAAAGATGGTCGTGTATAAAACAGGAAGTTACGTTAATAAGACATGAAAACAATTGCAATGAAAGTAACAAAACAATGCCATCTCCTTTTCAGGTTCTAATAACACAAATTGTGTTATTTACATAAACTATTCATATTGCAAATACAGTTTTTAACCAGGAAGGGAAGACGGACATGGACATGACCCATGTGATTTGCAATATCGCAATATATCGCAATAATTAGCATATCGTAGAATCGCAATATATCGTATCGTGGCTTAAGTATCGTGATAGTACCGTATCGTGGGGAGGCTGGTGATTCCAACCCTATAAGATAATAAAATGTCTTTTAACATGTTGGTTTTGTGGCATGTCAGGAGACATGGACAAATACGTGCCGACTACATCTAGCATTTTTAGGATGTGAGCTGCGACCTCTGTAAAGCTAGATCACAAAAGGAGAGCTTTTAAGGAAGACTCTGGCTAAACACCTTTTCATTTCCCTACGTCTTCTTTAAAAGAATCATTAAGATCATAACATCCAGGTCTGCCTCCATAACACTACAAACATATCACTGTTGAATAAACGGCAATACAGCAGGTGTTTTCAATTCAAGAAGCATTTTATGTGAAGGATGATTAGATGTTGCTGCTAATTTCCCTACAGGGCTAGTTGTTCATTTATGGTGTTCTTATATGTTGGATTTGTATTTCTACTAATGTGTTTGATTCTTTTATGATTATGTTATGGGTAAGGATGTTATGCTTGGCCTCTGTATTGTGATTTGTTTAATGTTGTATGTGCTTTGTGACTAGGTGGCTTTACTATGTACTATTTCTCTGTCCTTTTTTAAGTGAGCTTGCTTAGACACATTCCAATAACTCGCGTTGATATGGAGATAGGGTTTGTTTATTTTATTTTCTTATCTAAGTCATCCGCTATGTCTCTATTTTCATTCTTACATAGTGATGTCAAATACTGAGCTGTAGTTTCAGATGGGGCTTTTAGGAGGTAAGTGAGTTATGGAATTAGTCACAGGCAAAAGCAAAAGTCAAATCGTGGGTCAGGTTTTGCGTCCGCGTGAAGTCAGGAGGTAACAGCTCTTACATAGTAGGGCTCAGCCTCTCTCTCGGTAACCTCATCCTGGTTCAGGAGGAAGCAGGTGGGGATCCGGCCGAACCAAACGTCTCTCAACACGTCCTTGTCATCTGCCATGCTGCTGCTCCCAGTGGCTCATAAAGAATAAATCCCCCAACACACAGACTCTGAAGTCCAATGGCAGACGGCTTCCTGGTGGCAACAACACAGCAGAGCAAAACACATTAGCGAAACCACAGGGACACATAGGCTAGTGTTACATTGACTCATAATTATGCTTTACGTAAGCGTTATACTTCCTGATTTGAAAGGGGAGTTATTATACATATTGGATGGAATAAATGACGAATGTATTGCATCTATATTGACTGATACTACAACTATGATATATGAAGGAATGACCATTATTGAAACATTGTCCATAGAACTATTTTATAATATATATTAAGATGATCCTGGTGGTATTTCTTAAGATGATCTGTAACCAACAAGGATTGTTTTATTATGTCTGTACATGATTAGGACTTCTCTGCAGCTCCACAATACATCATTTCACGTATTTATCATGTACTTAATGTTGTGCTTACTGCTATTTGGGTATTGCACTACACTCTGAAGGGTAAACAGGTGTCAACAACACAACAGAGCAACAAACATTAGTGAAACTTTGAGCCACACAACCCCAAAACCACAGTGAAACAGGCAGTGCAACATAAGCTAGTAGCACATGGACTCAAGTAATTCTGCTTTAAATAAGCCTTATACTTCGTTATTAATTCACTAGGGGAGTTATTACACAGTTATAGTCCAGAAAAAGACAACAACTCACATGCTAGACTTCCAAACAAACTCCAAGCCTGTGAAACTACGCAGATGTAATGCAGAAACTGACGTTAGCTTGATAGCTAGGGAAGCTAAGTTAGCATGACAATATAGCAAACAATTGTTTAAATGGACAAACGTTGTTGCTTTCTGGGTATTGTGGGTATTGTCCACGAACAAATTATTCTTGTGTGCCAAGAAGAGGTTGTGATATGAGGGCAAATCTTACTTTGTGTCGATGTTTTGCAGTCAGCTTGAATGGAAGAAGGGCCGTGATGTTGTCATCCCCCTGCTGTCACCGGAAAACAGCTGAAAGCTCCCCCGGAAAACAGCGCCTCCTAGCGGACACTTCTTCAGGTCAGAATCGGAATCGGTTTTATTACCAAGTAGGTTGTAATAAGATAAGATAAGATAAGATGTACTTTTGTTCGTTGCAGCAGCATAAAACAAAACAAGACATTGCACATAATTCAATTAAAAGAGTAGAAATAAACAATTCTAAAATATCCACACGGCTGTCAAACTCAAATACACAGTGGGCCAACATTTCAAAATGGGTACTAGTGGAGGGCCGGACTGGTTCAATGTTTATTGCAAAACTTATTGAAATGAACTCATTGCACATATTAAACCTGGAACTAACAAAGCTTAAATTATTGCCTATAAAAACAACATTAAACATTAAATAATCAGTTGCATTCATTTCTTATGATTACATTTTTCCACAGGCCAACAACAGCTTCAACAAAACTATTCCCCTCAAAGAAAAAAGCAAACATGCCCTGTTGTCGTGAGAGAGAAAGTGCAGAAGGAAACATCCATTAAACTCAATGTGCTGCTCTGTGATGCTAGTTCAAACCAGATACTTGGCATCTTATCTTGGGTGCAAGTTCATCAATGTTTGGGCTCAGGCTCTGAGCTGGACCTCAGGATTGAGTGAAGGTGAAATTAAATCCACCAAGGGCCTGATTTGGCCCCCGGGCCTTGATCTAGAAGATTAGATTAGATTACTTTATTGTCATTGTGCAAAGTACAAGCCAATGAAATACAGTTAGTATTAGTATCCAACCAGAATTGCAAGATGTGCTAAATATAAATAAATACAAGGTGCATATTATAAAAACTGACAATACAGCGAGCATTGAATGAGGAGCAAAAAATATACAATATACAGATGTAAGTATTGACAGAGTATTAACAGAGTATTAACAGAGTGTGAGTGCAGATTATATGTACAAACAGTAATATTATATAAAACCTCAGATGTAACCTCAGAAAAGAAAAAAACAAGACATTTAATTTACAAAATGTAGTAGCAGTTATAGTTTACAAATGCTGTTTAAGCTTAATACATTAATAAACAGCACAGACTGTATTTGTGTAAGACAAACTGAGTTAAAAATATCATGTATATTGTATTTTTTAATTGTTTGTGGTAGATACTGTATTTCTGGGCCACACAGTAGGTGGCGGTAATGCGCCCTTAACGCTGGCTGCCACCGCCATAATACCGTCAAACGAAGAAGAAGAAAAAGGGCTTGTTTGGATTTTGTCCACTATTAGCTTCAAGAATGGATAAACAATTGGAGACGGATAACCTGGAAATGCGTCTCCAGACGCTGGAAAGTCGTATATACGGAGGGAGAAGAAACAAAAGTGCCAAACCCGCCAAGGTTTGCCTGGAATATTTTATATTGTGATAAGTTTTAGTGCTAGAAAAGAAGCTAACTAGCTGTTAGCCTAGCATAGCTAACGGTAGCCTTGTCATCAGGTTTAAGTAAACGCCCCTTTTTATGCTGTAAACATTTAATGTAAAACAATACGTTTTATTAAGAGTTGTGACAACTGTTCACTCAAGTTACTGTAGTTTGTTAAGGTTCTAGTTAAATAGTTGTTAGGTGAGCTATTACATTGTTACTTGGCCTTTTAAAGAGATATGCATTCATAACATTTTCTTTATTAATCAAATCAAATCAAGTTTTATTTATATAGCACATTTATAAACGATTTTTGGTCGAGCCAAAGTGCTGTACATATAATACAAATAGCCTACAGTAGAGACACTTTACAGCAAATACAACAGCACAGATTGTTCAGAATATCAGTATGAGAAAAAGCGACACCCTCTATCCCTTGAGTTATTAGTCTGTATGACTTGAATGTCAGCCACAATGCTTTTACATTTATAAACGACAGTGGTGGAATATATTTTATATATATATATATATATATATATATATATAGGTACATTCACTTGAAGCACACACTTTTACTTTACTTGAGTATATCATTTTATTTACCTATTTACTGCTATTCCTCTTCATACTAGGAGTAAATATTGTTCTGTTTTTCTCCACTAGATTTGACGAGATACAAACATTGACATATAGATAGATGGAATACATCATTAGTTAAATACCTATTACAAGTGAGTGTCACCAACTGGTTTCTAGGAATTTATGAAAACACAAATGTGAGGTTTATGCAATAACAGACATCCCTGATCTACTGTAAAGACGTTATTAGCAGATTGGCCACAGACATGGTTTGGTCCTTTGGAGCCAAAGCATGGAGTGTTTCTTTAAAGCATCATATGATCATGATCACTCTTAACTAACAAAGGTGCTTTGTAGTGGATGAGTTCCCTGAAGATGTATTTGCCGGGTCAGAGGAAGTGCCTGTTGTCTGTGTTGGTGTCTCAAGTTGAGCTCGTGTCTCAAGTTGAGCTCGTGTCTCAAGTTGAGCTCGTGTCTCAAGTTGAGCTCGTGTCTCAAGTTGAGCTCGTGTCTCAAGTTGAGCTCGTGTCTCAAGTTGAGCTCGTGTCTCAAGTTGAGCTCGTTTCAGTTATACTCAAAGAGGAATTATATCGAACGTGTAAAACAATAACACAAACAATAATAATATTAATGAAATGAAACAAGAGAATTATGAAACTGTACAAACTTAAGCAATATCAAATTGATGAACACAAATATTATTGACTTACAAATTATATATAAACAAATGATTTACCTAGTTACACATCCGTAAAGGGGTGGGAAGAAGTGTACACTTATTTAATCCCACCCCTTCTCCCAAAAACTAAATGATTAACACTTTTTTAAACAAATGTAGATCTAAATGTACGTCTCCATACAATATACATTTACAATTATAAATAGATTATATCATTATTACTACATATATATGCAATATTCATTTACGTTGTATGTCCTATTTGATAAGACAAATATAAAAGACTATCTTTTTAGATCTACCATCCAAAATACATTTGATATTTTAAAAAAAACATAATAGAAATAAATAAACAGATAAACTGTAATGAGATACATACGGGGTGTTTCTCAATCTCGAGGATGCTAGCTTGGTAGTCGCGTACTTCCAAGTCACTTCCTTCAGAAACGAAGCCAGTATGCTTCCAAGCCACGGCTTCGGAAAACGAAGAAGAATGGAACAGGCTAACAAGCGTGCCACTCTCTCTAACGGTTTCAACATAAACTGTACCGAAAATAAATACCTCACGATGTCTATCTAATTATGAACTTGCTTTACTTTCACGGAACACATTTTTGGTGGTAACACATTTAACAAAGTAACAAATGTACCAACACATGTTCTACGCCACTACATACTTACATTTAAATGTGTGCTGCGTCGGTTCAGCCATTCTCCGCAAGGGTTTTTGAAATTGGTCCTTGCGCAAAGCATTGTGGGGATTTTAAGGACGCGAAGTCTACCCATGTGCAGCCTCGACATTTCCCCCAAACCAAGGACGCGGCCTCGGTGGAATTCCAAGTATGCTGGAGATTGGAACAGTCCTGCTGCGTCACTCCATGACGTAGCATCCTTGAAATATTGGCTTGGAAGCCAGTATCCTCAAGATTGAGAAAAGGCCACAGTTGCCAGGATACTGCAACTTCTCTTTAGTCCCAAAAGGCACGACACAGCGCAAATCAGAGAAGAAAGTGCTTAAAGCATGCTCTGTATATCATCCTGAACTTGTTTGTTTTGTTGTTGCAGTCTGTCAGTATATTGTAGCGCCGCACAGATCCGAGAAGAAAGTGATGAAGAAGAATTGTAAAATGTAACGCCTGTCCTATACCTTGGTAATCCTTATCGTTAAATCTAATACATGTATTGTACCCTGCAGTGTGCTGAGTCTTTGGCCCGGATTCAGGCGGGTCTGACCAACACGGCCAACAAGAGAGAGCGAGTGAAGATCCTGCACAAGAAGAGTGAGTCACGCTGTGGGGTGTCTGGATTACAGCCTGTGGTGACCTTCTTTATGTCAATGGAGTTACTATTCAAGTGTTTTTGGCTTGTGTAACCATTAGCCAATCAGCAACCAAGGTAACCCCCCCCCCCCCCCCCCTTATCACCTGAATCTCCTCCTAGAGCACCATTGAGTTCTTTGTAACCAAATCTCTCTCAGAGGGGCGTGGGGAGGGGCTCCTTATTTTCATCTAAAGTAACAGACAGAGAATCAGCTCTTTGGAAACAGGGCTGAAACAGAGGGGATTATGGGTAATGCTGCAATGATCCGTTTGGTGTTTCAGCCAATCAGGGCTCTGTATATATCTGAGAGCTGTGATATATTGATGAAAAACAGTATAATAGGGGACCTTGAAAAAACGGACTACAAGGGACCCCACATATTTCCGCTGAACCCTAAAGACATCCAAATCCTGACATGAATAGCCAGTAATGTTGCAGAGTGCTGGTCTAAAATGATAAATGCCTCCACGTTGCTTGCAGTATTCAACAGACTCAGGGTCAGTTTTATCCCACAGGCCATAACACTGATAAACACCTGAGCTCTGTGAAGTGCCTCGATAAACATTCCTATTGTCATCTTGCAATGTACTTATTTATATAAATAGTTATCACAGCTAAACCCTATTTAATTTATTTTTAATTTACATTATTTGACGTCATATTCTGTTCTTGTACATATCCCTATTCTATTTATATGTATATAGACTTTTTGCCCTATTTTGTGTTTTTGTATTTGATTATATATGTTGCATTGTGGGAGGAGCTTAGGTCAGAAGATGTTCATTGCCATTTCTACAGAGTAGCTTTGTGCATCTGACACTAAAACCTTTGAATTTGAATCTTGAGTATTTCTTCTGTGTTCAGATCTAAGAGTGTGTTTTGTCTGATCATGTTTATCGACGTTGTGTTGCAGTTGAGGACCTCCTGAAGTACCTGGACCCTCAGTTCACCGACCACATCACTGTCCCTGACGCCATGAAGCTGGAGTTCATCCTGGCTGGTGAGAACAAGAAGGACAGGATCAATTACCTA